GAGGAGGAGGAGGAGATTGGATTTGTACGCGGCCCTTCACTCGGAGTCTCAGAGCGGCTTACAATCTCCTTTAATGCCAGTAGCTCACAAAGTAGAATTTTTGCTTACAAGACTCCACAGCTTAGAGGGAACATTGCCGGGTGCCCACCTACCCGGGTGCCCACCCACCCCTTTCATGGTGCCCCCCCTTGTGTTTTTGGAAGTGGGTGGGGCCAGATGGGGCTCCTGCCCAGCAGAGCTTCTGATTGGCCACTGAAGATCTGATTGGAGGAGGAGGAGAAGAAAGAAGAAGAAAGAAGAAGAAGAAGAGGAGGAGAAGGAGGAGGGAGATTGGATTTCTACCCCGCCCTTCACTACCCGAAGGAGTCTCAGAGCGGCTTACAATCTCCTTTTCCCTTCCCCTCCCCACAACAGACGCCCTGTGGGGTAGGTGGGGCTGAGAGAGCTCTTTTGAGGACTGCCCTTGGTAGAATAGCTCTGAGAGAACTATGGTTTGCCAAAGGTCATCCAGCAGGTGCAAGTGGAGGAGTGGGGAATCAAACCTTGTTCTCCCAGATTAGAGTCCGCGCACATAACCACTAAACGAAGAAGGAGGAGGAGGAAGAGGAGGAGAAGGAGGAGGAGGAGGAGGAGGAGGAGGAGATTGGATTTGTACCCGGCCCTTCACTCGGAGTCTCAGAGTGGCTTACAATCTCCTTTTCCCTTCCCCTCCCCACAACAGACACCCCGTGAGGTAGGTGAGGCTGAGAGAGCTCTTTGGAGGACTGCTTCTGACAGAACAGCTCTGAGAGAACTTGTGACAGACCTAAGGTCACACCAGCAGCTGCATGTGGAGGAGTGGGGAATCAAACCCAGTTCTCCCAGATTAGAGTCCGTGCTCCTAACCACTGCACCAGACATTTTTGGGGTGGAAGCTGCCACTACAGGGATGGTTTTACTGTCACTCACTCCTCTTTCTCATATATATTTAAAAATTACTCCTCTTGTCCCCTCAGAGTGTGTGCGACTCTGCCCTCCATGGTGGCCATTTTGTGGCTGACTCCACCTCCTGCGGCTGCCATTTTGTGCTTGCGCCCACACCCGGCGTCAGACTCCCCAGGGTGCCCAGAGGCTCAAAAGAGTTGGGGACCCCTGTTCTAGCTCGCTCTCCCAGCCCCATTTCCTTCCCACCCTTCCTGCTTCCACCCCCCAGGGGAACAGAGAAGGTTGGGGGTGGGGATTTTGGCCAGTTCCACCGGCCACCTGACAAGGGAGATGATGAATATATGCAAGGGAAACCACAGAAGTTTCCACATCGGGGAGCAGAGGCGAAGAAGTCGAACAAAGAGGTCTATGTGGAAAAGGCGGCAAGAAGAAAGCAAAAGAGGACCCTCAGAGAGAACAATTTGGTCTACGGGTGACACTCGTCTGAGAGTCTGATCAGACGGCTCTTGAGATCCGCGCGAGGCACGATTGCCTCACGGATCTAAAGGTACGGTCCAGACACAAACATCTGGGAAATGTCCCTCTTCCGTGGGCATCTCGTTTTATTATTATTTTTTTTAATACTACAAACTATAACAGAAATTCCCATTTCATTAGTAAAAGGACACAAACATATGTGGTGGCTTTGTTACTTTTGTTTTTCATTCTTTTTTAATAAATGCCCTTATACATGCGGTTTGGACAGTCCCCCTTTAGGAGGGAGTTTCAAAGCAGTGGCAATGCTTCACTGGAAACACTCTCTCAATTTAAAATAAAGGGTTGAATGTTACTATTCTTAGAAAGGAATATGTTTCCTCAAAAAGAAAAATGTTTCCCATTTCTGTTTATTTGGTTTATTTTTCTTTTTGAAGCCACTAAAAAAAGCCACGAAGAATAATCATATGAATAAATTCAGAGCTGGATCGGAAAACTCTGATTTTTATGAACAGAACTAATAAGAAGACAGACAACTTTGGTATTATTTCCAAGGCATGAGAAAAATGCTGTTGCTTACACTATTGGCCAAATACTGCTTGCTTTCATTTTGTTCCATATCATCTGGAGTTAATGAATCATTATATAGAGTCTGATCAGACAGCTCTTTAGATCCACGTGAGGCACAATTGCCTCACGGATCTAAATGTAACGTCCAGACACAAACATATGGGAAATGTCCCTCTTCCATGGGCATCCCGTTTGCCGCGCTTCGGAGTCGTACTTAAAAGATAGCACTTTAAATCTGGGGTTTTCGGTTACCTGCGGGACAACTGCGGACTTTCACCCGTCTGATCATTTCACCGGCGCGCAATCCTCCCGTCGGCGTGGTCAGACATCAGACCATCCCGAGCGGGCGCCATTTTAAAATATCTCTACACATGCGCGGATCAACAAGGATGCGCTGTCACGTCTATGCACATTGCGCAAAAAGGGGTTTGTTTGTTTTTTAAATAACCCACTGCTCATGCCTCCTTCAGTGGACGCCATCTAGACAATCCACAACGGAGGCAGCGCGCGGTAAGGCGATTCACCAGGGGGGCGTCTGGTCGTGCTACGATGGATTAAAAAGATCGGGATAGAATTCAAGCTGGCATAATGACGGGATTGGCTACCCGTCTGAATGCACCCTTAGACTAACAAAATATGTGGCAGGGGAGGCGCTTTCATGAGTCACTGCTCACTTCTTCAGATATATATCTTCAGATTGGTATCTGAAGAAGTGAGCGGTGACTCACGAAAGCTCCTCCCCTGCCACATATTTTCTTAGTCTTTCAGGTGCTCCTGGACTCTTGCTCTTTCTGCTGCTACAAACGGACTAAGGGGGCTACCCATCTCGATCTATCTCCACACAAGAAGCTGAAATGCTCTTGGGAATCTTCCTTGCAAGTGGTGTTCCCTCTAAGCTGAGTCAGTGTGAGCTAGCTGACAGTTTCTTAGCCTCCGGCTCACACATTTCTGTCTCAACTCAGGAAGGAGGGCCCCAGAGCAAACTAATTGATGCAGCGGCCCAATCGCTGGCTCACAACTTGAATGCCAATAGCTCACAGAGTAGAATTTTTGCTCACAAGACTCCACAGCTTAGAGGGAGCATTGCTTGCAGGGACTGCTATATGGCCTGGTTTGGCCCCAAGCTTGTCGGGGTTTGGGAGCTGAGCAGGGTCGGTCGTGGTTAGTCCTTAGATCTCCTGCTATTACACCTGACCTCCAGCCGAGAGAGATCAGTTCACCCAGAGGCAGGAGTCATTTCCTGCAGGAGCGCACAGGAGCGAAGCTTCGGTAGTAAAGGGCCCAGGGGGTGGGCACATGCAACAAGCCCCGCCCCCTGCTCCCAGCAGCCCTCAGTCAGAGCAAGAAGCAGCTAGGTAAGCTGCAAAGCCCCCCCCC